ACTAATTGTTTTGCAGGAGCCGCAACATCGTACGGGGTTATGTAACTCGACAGGTACGCCCTCTTGAAATTACATCGCCATAAGCTAGACGATCGCCACGGTCACCGGCACTTAGTACATGCCCTCGTCCCGGTTGACCGCCCGGTCGACCTGCTCGTCCACAGCGCGCTCTTGTTGGTACGCATCGACGCTGTTTCCGCGCAGCCCGCCCCGGACATCCGAGTCACGCCCTTCGTCGCGCATCTCGCTCATGAGTCCTTGAGCCTCGCCTGAGCAGAGTCAGCCGCCCTGTCCGGTCAACGCGCACGAGTCGTACAGACCTTTGCTAAGACGCCCGGCCACCTCGCTCTCTGCTGCCGCTGCATCCTCACGCTCGGCGTCCAGCCACCCCCCCCGTCTAACATGCCAACGGTCACCTCATCGCCCTTGCTAGGCACCGCGCAACTCACGCCAACCATACCACCACCGCCTGGCAACTCCCTGTCGCCGCCCACTTCCCCATCTGACCTCCTATAGTTTTCGTCTCCGCAGGTCACCTCCTGCACCGTTAAATTTCCATTCAAACCACGTTCTCGGGTCAAGTCCTGCCATCCACCGCTGCTCTTCCCTTACGCGCCGACTACCGTTCCCTGGCGCCGCTTCTCACCACGTTCAAGCTGTCGTCTTGCTTGACCACGGCCGCGTGCTGACCCTCGTCACGGCACGTCTGATTTCCAGAAGTGTCAGTCCGGGCACTTCCACTGCTTATACATTTTTTGTATCAGAAAGACCAAGCGACACGGCATTGCGCCGGATGCTTGTACGCGCGTGAGTTACGCCTTCTCTCAGATAGGCAGAGTGCTGATCTTTTGCTCCTTTTGACCTGGCCGTTCTATTGTATACTGAGTTCGGCTGCAAAGTAAAGCGCAGCACCCGTACACGATGCCCGTTCTGCTCGGATATCTTACACGCTGTGCTCAGTTGATAATGCTTAAAGCTACATACGGAACGCACATCCGTGCATAGTGCTAGTCGTGTCTTCTTTGCCACCGGTCATGTGCTGACTTTATGTGTCTGTGGTGCAGTTTGTCTTCTCGCCCCGTCTTTTTCGGATCGAGATTTGTTATGCGCCTGCAGTATAAAAGGTCTAATATCGTCCCTTCTCTGGGACCATCTCGTCTGCGCCCCTCTCTTGCCCTCTCAGCCCTATCTTTCCATTACCATTATGTCTGAACACGGCTCCGACGCCTTTGAGGACGGCAGTGACGACATTGGGTCCGTGAACCTTTCGCTCTACGAGCTCCAGGAGCTACCCACTTCAACTATGGCCGCCGTTGAGCTCAAGCTGGTTCGTTTGCTTGCCATTGTTCAATGCGACGCTCTCGCTAACACGATCCACGAACAGGCGCTCGATAATGCACATATAATTAACAGGGACTTACTCTTACATGCACGAAAACTCCAGGCCGAGAACATATTGCTGAGGGCGAAAAAAACGAAGGCCACTGGTCGTCTTGTTGGTGAAGACCAAAAGATTGGATGGGCTGGTGCCGCGTCCTGCGTAATAATAGCCCCATGGATCCCTACGAGCACTCTTCAGGCTCCGAGACCGCCAACGTCTCTCGATTTGAATGACCCTTCTACGCGGTTTGCTTCGTCGCATTCCCGGAATGCTGCGACGTTGGCCGAGGTTTACAACCTCCTCGATCCTTCCCTCGTTCTGGTTCTCGAGAATGAAAACCGGCGTTCATCCTTTATACAGACGGTGCGTGGATGATACGTGCGCCAATCCCGTCTCATCGACTTCTAGTTCCTAAAAAGAATGAGCGCCCAGAGGCAACAGGTAGTCCAGCGCGTGAAGGAATGTGGCCCTCAGCTACTTGATCTTGAGCCGTTGTTATGGACCACCCAGGATGGAGCCAAGCGGAGAAAATCCGACTCTCGCATTCGAGCGCTCCTATCTCCGGTGTATGGCGACGAGATGTATGCATCGTACCCTAACTTTCCGAAACTGCTCTTCCAGTGTGGATCGGACGGTCAAGCCGAGAAGTCCAAGCCGTTCCGAAACAGTGCATTCCCGAAAGTGCGTCGTTATTGTCTTATAATTCTTTCTTGGTCTCAAGACGTGACCATACAGCTCCTGGCCGTTATCCTTTTTGGCCCCAGTGTCCTGAATGAAGCTAGGGGCTCGCGCAAGTCTAGTGCGAGGTCCAACGCAGCGCTTTGGGGTGTGACGAGTGTCACACCGGGCGCCATTGCACTTGTCGCGGTTGTCGTTCGTACCGCAGTCTATCTTCGTTGGTTTTACTGACCAAAAATCATCATAGTTCTACTTTTGGCTGTCGCCAGACACGGAGCTCTACGAGGGTGGAATTCTAGTGGGGCACGGTGGCTGCGGCGTATCTTGGGGTAGTCGGTTTGATCTTTACAAAAGGGCAATTCTCCGTCTCCCGAAGCCGGACCGGGATAGTCTTTTTAACTGGTATAATGTTGAGGTGTTTGGTAAGACGTCCAACAACCAGGGTCAGGCTACCAACTTTGAAGACGATCTCTCTGGCGAAGAGATTATTGACCCGTTGGGCCACATGCTCGCAGGCCTCAATGTTACACCAGGTGTCAACGAGGAAGATCTCGAGGTCGAACCGCTATCTCCGTCTACACCTCCGAGTCTCGAGCTGTCGCCCTCGCCTTTGCATTTCACTCTGCCAGTGGACACTGAGCCAGTGTCGGCTATGTACAATCTTTTTTTCATTGCACTTGGCTTAAATCTTATAGCTTGATGGCAGGTCTATGGAATTCACGCAGACATCGCTCAACTTGGAGCTACGTGAAGAGGCCCTGGAACTCCCAGTGGTCTTTGAGCCTTCTGAGTCGCTTGTTGAGCAGCTGACAGCTTTCGGCGCCATATCAATGGCTCAGCAAGCTGATTACAATGCTCGCAGCGCTCGTGGCGCTCGCGGTGGTCGGCGCAGTCGCGGTGGTCGTGGTGGTCGAGGCAGTCGAGGCGGTCGAGGTGGTCGAGGTGGTGGGGAGATGGGTCCGAGTTACGATCGCGCTGCGACTCAGGCTAGTACCGGTAACGTCAGCGGACCGGCCGCAGGAGAGAAGCCAACTCGTACTACTAGGGCAAGCTCAAAGAAATAACTCATGTGTTCCCAACGATGCTCATGTACTCATATACGATATCAGCTTAACTGTTACGCCTTTGCTCGGAACTACATTGATTCGCTTGTTCGGACAGCAGGTGCATGGACGAGTTCGAGATGTACACGTGCATTCTGACCACGTGCATGTTGACTTTGAGGTTTGGCTTCGCTGTCTGCGTTCCTTCCTTCATCCCACTACATCCACCCCCTCTACGACAACAAGATCTTCTGTATCAGAGGGCACTAGTACCCAAGGCCCGCACCACTCACTCAGAGCAACTGCGAACCGCAGTGTTCACCTGGAACTGCTGCCCCCGGCGAGCTCGCTATGCCCTAGTTCCCTCTGCTATACTACACAAAGCCGCCCTTCCTCGCTCCTCCTGACAGCTCCGTCATTCACACCTCCTCTGCAGCCTCTATGGTACCATCATCGCCATACCACCATGAGCTGCTTTCGCACTGGTCCGGAGCTGCTGGTGTCGCCTTGCACATGTGAGCCCGCACTTTGTCTTGTCTTCCTGCGCCGCATGAGGCATGCTGTGCGCACCGCACTCAAGCCCTCACGCCTGCGACCCTTCACTGCCTGCCTCTTTAGCTCAACCGACCGTGCAATGTGTACGGACCAAGATAACACCATCGGGTGGGTAGCAACCAAAGAGTACGCATGCACGCATGCCTTCGCCGTTGGGTCCTCGGTAAGTCACGATATGCTAGGGAGGAAGTGGCTCACCACGCTCTTCAGCCCCCCGCCGAAACTGATCCCACCGACCGACTGGCGCTATGTCTGCGACGACCCGAGAGCGAGATCTCGCGCCTCAGCAACGAGCAGGCGCTTGAACCGGACTGGCCGAGCCGCATTGACGACGACATGCCCTTCCCACCACCGAGCGAGTACCCGCTACGTCCACGGCCGCGGGTGAGCGAGCACACCCGTCTCTTCCGATATTCCGTCGCAGGCGAGAAGCCGAATCGAGGCATGATGTCGCACCACACCCCGGGCCCGCCGTACGCACTCCTGCTCGTCGACGTCCCTACAGCCGCCAGCGCATTCTCGTACAGCTTCAGCCCCGACGGCGCCAGCGTCGTCGTTTTCTCCAGTTTCATCGACCGCATCCTCGCCGACAACCCTACCCCACCGCCATCGCCCGCGCCGACGTCATGGTCGGCGTCCTTGCTCGGCAGTGCGCTTCTCCTTGGCCAGGTGGAAGAGCTGACGTGCATATAGGGCCCTCTTGTGCAATCGTCTGTTCCCTGTCTCGGACATGCGCGCCTCACGCGACATTTGCGCATCCAGTTGGGCAAGCGTGGCTTGATGTGGGGCAGAGGCCTGCTGGCAAGCGCCGTCGCAACGGTTACGCCTGATTTGCTACCCTAGCTGGGCCTCATAACGCGTACGTGGTAGCATTGAGCAGGGTAGCATGGTCAAAGGCTAGCATACCACTGTAATTACTCGAGAATCACTGATAATCGTATCATGGGCAATTATAAGCGTGACAATAAGGCTACAATCAGCAAGCGTGACAATAAGGCTACAATTAGCAAGCTGGGCTTATAAGGCTACTGATAACTACTACAAGATCTGACTCGCTCGTGATTGAACTCGGATGGCTTATGGTCAGGTCCATGTGACTTATAATCAGACTAAAAGGGAAACGGGTAATTATAAGTCTCGGCCCTCGCTCACAAGCGTCCCGGGTGCCTTACAATCGGCTCTCATAAGCTGCGCTTATGATATTAACTTTCCGCTTACGGGCACCACAAGGACCCGGACCTGATTTTACCGCTTGCGGTGATTATAATCAATTACAAGCGTGATCCGGGTTTTGCGACATGGTCTGCTCTCACCACCACCGTATGATTCACCTCCCTTGCCACGGCGAGATGGCCGAGCGGTCCAAGGCGCCAGACTAAGGATCTGGTCCGAAAGGGCGTGGGTTCGAATCCCACTCTCGTCATTTTTACGCGGTCCTGTCAAACTGTGCCTTCGTCCGTTTCAGTCACTGGTAGAAGGTGGACGCAAGAGCCCAAAGGTTTGATGTCTTCTGAGATCTGACAACTTTTTGGTCCAGTCTGCTGAGGTGCTGTCACAAATCTAGGACAGCACTTATCAGTGTGTTTTTTCTTTTTTTTCCAAATTTTGGTGTAAAGTTGAGTAGTACTAGTCTGGGACGCAGCGAGGTCTAGAGTGTAGACGGCCTCGGGAATCGCCATAGTCCCGTAGCTGCCACTCGCCTCTTACTTTCGCCCGTCCGCGTCTCCCTCTAACACCGCCGTTTAATCTACACTGCCTAATTCCGTGCAGGGCTCTCGAAGTAAGGACCCAGATAGGCCTAGCCCCCTCTCCCCCACTAGTTAGTCGGTATGTGTCAAGCTCGATGCGCACTCGGGATGTTGTATGAAGTGCATAGATCATCGTCCCGGTGTGCTCGTCCGCATATGCCATATACAATGATTGGCCCCGCGCTGTCGGCTTTTCACCGTGTGTTGCTGGTGGCTCTCGTATCGGTCCCCGCGGATGCGTTAGCAAGGCCCATCGCGTATCAGCAGCGTACCCGATTGCCAGAAAGCAGCCGAGCCGGATTGTAGTAAACTCGTCCCCTGATCATAAGCTGGGTGCCATATACAGTACCAGCGTATCGCAGTAGGGGCTCACGCAGTGATCTCGCGCCCTGTTGCACCGGCGCACTCGGAGCCTCTACAGACGATTTCTCGGGCAATTTGCGTGGATGTGTGGTAGCTTGTGGTCGGTTCGACGTGCGGGCTGCAAGGTTTCCGGGCTGCAAGGTTTCCGGGCTGCAAGGTTTCCGAGTCTCTAGTAGGATGGCCTCCCTGCTCGAATTTGCACGTGTGCGTGATTGTCGTAGCTGTGGATACGGAGATACGAGCAGGAGGCATGTTTGCTCTCTCGTACCTGTTTGAAGACAGATAAATATCATTGCGAGCGCAGCGAGCAACTATCGACTAGGGATAAACTCAGTTCACGTGGTGTGGTTGTGCAATCCGGGGGTCACTGCTGTTCACTGCTGCTCGGCGCAAAAGACCAGCTTGAGAGAGAAAACATATCTCCTGCTTGTGTCTCTGTATCCATAGATATAACGATCCTGCCCAAATTCAAGTGGGGAGGGCTTGGGGGAGGTCATCCTAGAGAAATCTTGCAGACGTCGAACTGACCACAAGCTACACATTCACGTGAGCTGGCAAGTGCCCGAGAGTTTGTCCATGGAGGCTCCGAGTGCAGTGCAACAAGGCGCAAGATCGAGCGCTGCGCGAGCCCCTTCTGCGGTACGCAGACGACCGTGACATATTGTTTTCGTCCTTCGCACCGAGAAGCAGTGACGCCCCGGATTGCACAACCGCATCACGTGAACTAACGAACTCTGCACAAAAGTATCAAGTCAGAACAACAAGTTGAACGAGGAAAGCTTATTGCCTATAAGAGCGGGATTACCTTGGGACTGCTTGGAATGCTCGTAAGTAAAGCCTATTGCAAGCGCCATGATGTGAGCGCCGTCCCGGATTTGCGGCGATTGTATGCAGCAGTCCAGCAGCGCTCTGCCAAATGGTTATTCAATTTGAGAACAGACGCCGGAACGGTGCCATCCTGGTGTCATCTTAAACGATGTTCATTGAGTCTTTTTTAATCAATAGCGTTGCGTACTACCACATAACACCGGATTATACTGGCCGGGAGGCCATTAAGAGCCAGTGGTGCACCGGGGGGACAAGGGTGGCGCACATTCATTAGGTTGTGGACCCAAGCGCGGTGTAGAAGCGTGTCCATTGACGCCGTGCATCGTTCGAGGCGTCAGACCTGACGGTACCGTGTTCAAGTTGATAGCTGTATCGGATACTGTAGGAAGGAGGTTGAATGGTGTCATCAAGCAACGAGAGCACGTGCAAATCGCTCACACTGCGCACTGCGCGCCCGATGCCAATCCCCGACGGCCGAGGTTCAACGAGCTTCTAGCACGCGTCCGCTCCGTACCGCGCCACTTCCTCGTGCTCCGAAGCTTCGCGAGAAAAATTATTACTAGCAGTAGTCCAGGTATACAAAGTACGAGACTACTGTACTTAAATATTCGAAATTTTTGACTGTCACGCTCCAGCGATGGGCCACAGTTGTCAATCGGAGAACGTCGGCGTAGCCAATACAAACCCAGCGTTACGCGTGTCGGACATCTAATCGTAAAAGGACAGTAGTGCTCTGAAACGAGCGCCCGTTTTCTTACGCCTTCAAGTTGGCCGTCATCAAGGCCGTCAAGAAGGTCGTCATAGAGCCAAGCATAGAGCACACCTCAATCTCTCGACTCTATAGAGAGCGCCAAGCTCCAGATCTATCCGTGAGAAAAAGCGGCGCTCTCAGCTCGAGCTCGTCATTGTTCGCCCTTGTATCTTTGCAACTGCAACCGGGTCCACTTCGCGTTTATCGTCTCATCGAAGCCGCCGGCTTAGTGTCGGTCCGAGCGCATATTAAAGTCTTCGTGTGCGAGAATGAGAGATTCTCAAGATTCTTACTGGGCGTATCGTGCACATGCTGCGTAAAGTCTAAATATACGGTACTTTCTTACTTTTCGATCCCAGTTCCAGACTTTAGCAAGAAAAAAAAAAAACTCTATACCACACGTTCATCCATATAATTTACACAGAAGTACAACCGACGGGAAGGACCCAGCCCAAGGTGGAAAGGAGTCGCTCTAGCATCCCACCGCTGCGCAACTCGGTCTCAGATAAGCTTGTATGCGCTTCCTCCCGCTTGGGCATCGAAATTTACGACCTGCTCTAGGCCTAGGAAATTTTCATGAGAGCAGACCAGAGGACAAAGCAGGTTCCACTTACCCATGACCTCGAAGAACGCCTTCGGGTCCATGCCCTTGGCTGACGCGAAGTCTGTGCCCGTGGTCTTGAGCAACCGCATCGCCTCGCGAATCGAGTGCACGGCCGCCACGCACGAGACGAGCGAGAAAACTGGCAGCGCAGATCAGCACGGCGCGCGAGAGCGAGTCCGCGGGGATGGCGACTGACTGATGATTTTGGCACCCATTGCCTCGGCCTCTTGTGAGGTGAAGCTGGGCGTGAGGCCGCCGGAGATGACATTGACGAGCACGGGCTTTGGCGCGAGCGCCGCGACGGTGCACTCGAGGAGCTCCTTCGTCTTGACGCCCTCGATGAAACAGACGTCCGCGCCAGCATCCGCAGCAAGCTTAAGTCTGATGATCGCCTCGCCCATACCGAGCACTTGGGCAGAGTCCGTGCGCCCAATAATGACCTGCGCAGACGGGTGGTGAGTGGCGCTCGCACGCCCAGAGCATCGAAGCATTCTCACAAAGTCCGATCCGCCGGGGATCGCGTCGCGCGCGATGACCGCCGCGCGGATGCGGGTGACGAACTCTTCGCGCGAGACGACCTGCTTGCCGAGAAGGTGCCCGCATCGCTTCGTCTGCACCTGGTCCTCGATGTGCATCGCCGCTACACCCGCCCGCGCGTATTGAGTGACGGTGCGCGCGATCATCGCCGGTCCGCCGAAACCGGTGTCTGCGTCTGCGATGACGGGCATCGTCGGGTCGAGGCTACACACCATCTGCGCGCTCTTGGGAGAGGTCAGCGGCCCGGGAGCAAAAGCAAATCGCCGTGCGGAGATCGTACCTGGACGAAATCGTTCAGGGTGGCGATGGCCAGATCGGGTTGGCCAAGGCGCGAAGCAGTCGTGGCAGCGCCGCTAGTGTAAAAGGTCAGGACGCCGGAAAATGACGCGTGCAGGCACGGATGCACACACCTTTGGTATAGGCAGCTGAAGCCAGCTTCGATGGCACAACGTGCGCTGATACCATCGCAGATTCCGGGTGCCACCTGTAGGATGCTTTGAGCACGGCTGGACAGTATGTTGAGGCAGAGGGATGCTAACCACAATACCAGGGCGAGCAAGCATCTGGCGGAGGCGTGTTGCGGGATTCCAGGACAGGGGGCCATCGAGGTAGTTCTTGGGGTCGAGGCGCGGGTTGTAGTACACTTGAGGTACGGCCTTGTCAAGCTCGATGATGCCCTCGTAGCGGCTCGAGATGGCCATGGGGTCGAACTTGGTGATGATGTCTCCGACGATGGTCTCGGCGGGGGAGGCCGGGTGAGTCTCAATTTCTATAGCGGCCATGGGGAGCAAAGGTTTAGAAGGAGGGGAAGACGATGCAAGTGCCGACGGTGGAGCCGCGAGCTTTTCTGAGGGCTGCGAGGAGCGCTTTGGGTGGATAGTGACGACAATGCCACGCTTGTGTCTGGAGACAGCGATACCCATTAAGGCCTGCCTTAAGTACCTCTTCGGGGTGGGGGACTTCAGCACCGCGACCTATCCTTCAAGTAAACGGCTGAACACCGGTTTTCACGTCGAGCTGCGTCCGGCTCCGTTTCCCATACCATGAGGTCGGCCCCCTCACTATCGAGGCCGTCGCTGAGAGCGATGGTAGATTTCTGATTCTGTCGAGGGCCAAGACCAATCGAAGGACGGATTCCATTGGGAGCACACTGCCTACCACAAGCGCCGCAGACGAATGTGTGCCAGGAAGCAAAGATTCTTGCGACCTGTCAGAGGATCCACGCGCTGGTCCCAGGGCCGGAGAAATGGTAGAATGCTTTCTGGAGTGGAAGTCAGACGAAAACCAGCCATTTGCAGCCGAAGGGCTTACGTGCTGACGTGTGAGAGAAATCCTACGACCCAATACGGTTTTCCGCCTGCCGCTTTGTTTGTTATTCAGCGACAAGCAATGTGGAGAGGGCGTATCATTGGCCATTGAACGAAGCCGATCAAGGCTTGGCACGCGTCTACTCCCGGGATGCGTTCTAAAGTGGGATACGGGGGCAGCAGGATGTCCTGATAGAGCAATGGTACGATAGCGTTGACCTGTGGGAGAAGTCTATCGCGCGTAAACGATAAGCAGACTACAGCTCACGAATGCCGCGGATGACC